GACAGAGGTTCTCACAGACTTGCAGAGAAAGGGATCGCGCATCCAGACAGGCAGCACCGAGTGGACTTCCTCCAACTCTGTGCCTCCCTGCCAGTCTTTTTCCTCTGGAAAAGCCTCCATTTGTCAAAGCTTCTCCTAACACGGGCTACATGACTTCTGCCGTGATGCCTTCCACACAGTCTGAACTATTTTGCCTGAATATTTCACACGGATTAAGGAATCTGTGCTTAACTATAACCCTGTGTATTTTTTATAAAACTGAAATGAAGCTAGGTATCTACTATATTTTCTCCATTTAAAAATGTTCACGGGCTCAGTCGTTAAGTGTCTGCCTTCAGCTCAGGTCATGATCCCAGGGTCCTGGGATCGAGTCTCACATCAAGCTCTCTGCTCAGCAGGAAGCCTGCTTCTCCCTCTCCCGCTCTCCCTGCTTGTGTTCCTGCTCTCGCTATCTCTCTCTCTGTCAAATAAATAAAATCTTAAAAAAAAATAAAAAATAAAAAAATGTTCACTTTGCAAATATAGAAATGGAATGGAAAAACCACTGCCATGTGTCCAGCCCAGAATTTTTTTTAAGTAAACTCTACTCCCAACATGGGGCTTGAACTCAGGACCTCAAGATCAAGAGTTGCACGCTCTTCTGACTGAGCCAACCAGATGCTCCAGCCCAGTATTTTTTAAACAAGTTATATAATTTAAAAATGTATGACAGTCAAATAAAATTAATAGAATACGAGTGTCTTACAGTGAAAAGTGTTTCCCTTTCCCCAGACCCACATGTTCACTCGTGAGGAAATCACATACATTCTGCTTTCTCCAGCTGACATCATTAACAAAGGCCCACGGTATTTAAAAAGCTTGGAAAATCATTTTTAACGGCCAAATAATATTCCATCCAGTGCAGAGGACATTCCCAGTTCAAATCCCAACTGTCCATCTCCGAATCTGGACAAATTACTTGGCATCCCTACCTCAGGAGTCATCATGGGGACCATGGTCAGAGGTCTGTGTCCTACCTGGCAAGGTAACTGGTCTAAATGCTCAAAAACTAGAGATTACAGTCATCACCATGTTCTCCTACCATCAGACACTGATTGTTGTTTGCTAGAAATTATAGCAAAAGTCTTGTAGAGCATATAAGTTTGCCTACTGAAGAGGTAGGGTGACTGAGTCCTTAAGGCTTTTCATACAATGCCAAATTGCTTTCCAAAAGGATATCAGTATTAACTTTCTCCACACCACAATAAATATTTTTTTATCTTTGATATATCTAAGAAACAATAGTACACTATTTTAATGTGTATGGCTCTGAAGTTTACTTAACCATTAGAATCTCCTCTTTTTTAAGTTCTTTGCCTCTCTACCCATGGGAGTCATCTTTTTAAATGGTACTTTAAACTTATTTGCATAAGTCTTCTATATCTAAAATATTTTACCTGCTATGTTTGCAGTAATTTTAATTGGTTGTTACTAGTATTTTTTAAAAACCAAGAACTCTATGTACAAATTTCGTTTCTATTATCAAGTTGCTCATCATTTATAATAGTAAACATCCTTTCCAGCCCTGTTGCCTGCACATTTTATAAGCACACCTCCTTTTTCTTTCTTCAGCAGGTCACTGATTAAGCTGTTCAGCAGTCCTTCTACATGACTTGTCTCCAAGTGAAAGTAACTCATGCGAATCACTAAGACTGAAGGCCAGCACAGTATACCAACCACCATTCCAACCTTCTGAATAGAGCTCCTCCTCCAGCCAAGAACCCACATAAAATGCTGGAAAAACATGTTCTGGACTGTCAATTGCCACTATGTATTTTATTTCTGAAGAGACAATTTTTAGGTAATTCATGTCAAAGCCATCAGAAAACTGCATGGTAACTTTGTTTTCCCAAACTATTTGCCTGATTAGCTCTATCACAATAACTCCTGCAAATTTTGTGATGTGAATGATGATGCTGATAACAGTGGCTAATGATTACGGAATATGTTACTTGCTTTGTGACAGGAAGTGTTCCAGAAGTAGTTTTATTAATTCTAGCCTCACGACTACCCTACGGGTTAGGCACTACTGTCCTTTTCTTACAGATGAGTAAAATGAGGCACAGAGACAAGTTACTTAAGATCACATGGGAGTAAGTAGCAGGAGCTAGCCTGGCCCCTACTCTTAGCCAGCACTCCATCCTGCCCCTCATAGCTTGCTGCTAGCTCCAAGGCTGTCATACCCAGAAACACAAAACCATAGCAAACATATGTATTTTCTTGGCCCTTATGAGATAGCTCATTTGACTGAACATCAACTTCCAATAAGGTTTGATTTACTTTATGCAATGCTTAAGAATGATCCCTTAAGATCACTTCCAAAAGTTCCATACATATATTTGTCTTATATACAACTTTATTAGAATGTATGATCACGAGTCAATGATATCATTGAGGTTTTGCATATTTTAAACTCTATTTGTATGCGTTTTTTTAACACACAAAAATTAAATGTCCCATTTATTCCTTCCCATCATGGGATGAGCTGTGACAAACTGTTCCTACAAAATGGCAAGACAGCTCAGAGGTACACAGAACAGTCTCTCTTTGAGGCTGTGCATAAAATCAGCTGCTGAACAGGAAACTTTGTTATTATCACTCTACCAAATTCCAGACATCTATAAAATTGTCTCGCAGATTTCTTACGTTTTCAGTGCAGCTCAAAACTAACCCAGCATGAGGTGGGGGTCTGGAGGCTGCCACTGCCAAAGCATCAAGTCAACACACCACATTCCAGGAGAAACAATCGAATAAAGTCCAGCCTAAACAGTGGAACTTTTACTCACTTTAAAACAGCTGGGGTATCCAAACAGGGCTCGTAACAAGATGAGGAAGATCCCCCACTATCTGCCATTTCTGCAGAGGGAGATTTTTAAATAGAGAGTTAAGTTGTTCTTTATACTAAAACCTTAAGTTTCAAAAATTCCTCTTGAGTTTCCCCAAAAAGGGCTTCCAGAATTATAAACTCTTATTTTGCCTTTATACTAAGAAGAAAATAAAGCAATAAACTTGTGATGTGTTTCAAGTTTGCATTTTTAGTAACTGTACTGTAATAATATTTTATTAAAAGTTTATTAAAATTTTTGGACAAAAGGAAAAGTACCTTAAAAAAAACAAAGAAAAATACTCAAAGTGAGCCCAGTTAAGCTGTTCTTATCAATAGGGTCAATACCAAAAAAGAGTGCGTCCACCAACGATACAGAGATTCAGTCTATAACGACATAAAGGGATGAGAAAAGACTCCTATAAAAGTCCCTAAAAGCTTATGTTAACACACAAAATCTATCTCCTAGCTAAGAGCATTTTGCTGGTTTTGCTCAGATGTAAGGAGCCAAATGACCATCTCATCTCTAAGCATCCTGACCTTGTGCTGAGGACAGCGGGAGGCGGTCATCACCTGATGTTTATACCACCACCTGCAACGTAGAATTCAGAACACCCACCCTAAGTTATTTCAAAGTGAACAGAGCCTCAATGTGCTTCTCAGAAAAGTGCTTGTGGGCAGTTCCTTACTGACCTCAGCAGTATCTGCCCTTAACCACTATAACCTAAGCAAGGCGTAAGTGATTTCCTGGCACCACTTCATTTATGACTTCTGAACCCAAGTGGGAGGATCCCCAGTGTCAGAAAACTGCTGCCCTCCCGAGTTCTCCTCAAGCTCCTTGAGGAAGAGGAAGGGAATGGCTGGTAACCACAGCACGCCTACTCTGATCCTGACCTCTGTCGAGAGGTTTTTCAAAGTCACATCAGAATTCCCAGGGCAGCTTCTTAAAAGGGCTGTTTCTGGACCTCACCCCTGACCAACAGAATCAGAACCTCTGAGATGCACTTCACAAGTACTCCAAGTGATGCTCATGATGACTGACGCGGAAGAATGGTCTCTAGTGTTCCCAATGCCACCACCCATGCCGCACTTTGCCTCTTCTACCAAATAGGGGATAGTAAAAATTAGCAATGAAAGGTTAGATAGTTGTTTGTTTTTTTAAGTAAACTAACCCCAATGTGGGGCTTGAACTCAGGACCCGAAGATCAAGAGTCTCATGCTCTACTGACTGAGCCCACCAGAAGTCCTGGAAGGTCAGGCAATTTTTCCTTTCCTAAATACAAGATAGATCCTTACATCTGTTACTATCTACCAAGTTATTTTAACCCCTTATTCCTCTGGAAAAAAACATGGCTTCAATGTTTCCATTACTTTTACTCTTCATTAAAATGACCTCTCAAATTATCTATGGAATATCAATAAGTTAGATATTTTATTAACACCGTAATATATTTGCTCTTTGTCCTATTGCTACAATTGCAAAACTCCAAATTAAAGTTATCTTCAAATCATCATGAGGAAACTACAGAAAAGCACTAAGCCCTGGTTACAAAGCAGTGCCGAGGTCGGCACTTTCCTTATCAGCAAACAAGCACCATGACAAGCTAGAGTACTAATATTAAAAATCAGGAGCACAATTCTATTTTCTCCTAACATCTCCTGCAACTGAATCACTCGAAGCTATAAATCAAGTGACTTACAAAGAAAATGGAAGGGAAAAGACCAGAAGAAAAGTAACAGGGTTTACCATCCGCTTAACAGGAATGTTCTGCTTCACAAACACGAGAAACAATGTATCAAAAATGGACAATCCTTTTAAACTAAGCAATTTAAGTAAACGCCATCGTTCTTGCCAAAGTCTCTAAGTGTGTTTTGTTCATGGCTCTGCAGAGGAGGAATCATGAACCTCTTTAAGACCGGAGAGTCGACGAAACCTCTCCCAGAAGAAGGCAGAAGCTAATGTGCACAAGCTCTCTGCGGAATGTGCTGCGTGTGAGAAAGGAAGGCGTGAACAAGGGCCCGGGACGCACGTATAGCCTCACTTTTAAACTCTGCTAACCGGCCAAGCGGAGGAAACAGACCACACCAATCCCCAGGCCGGTCCCGGAACGCCCCGCGCAGGGCCGAGCCGCGTTACCTTCTCGGCTATACTGTAGAGCACCTCGTCCATCTTCATGCAGGTGGGGTCCCAGTCGTGTCCAAAGCGAATGACCACCACGCGGTCCTCCTCCGAAAGGATGGCCTGATCCACCTGCCAGCCGTTGTGCAAGTGCGGGAGCATATACGACATCTCGGAGGCGGGTCCGGGGTCTGCGAGGAGAACTGCGAGCACCCGCTCCTTCCCGCGGACTGCTGGGCAAGGGGGGCTGAGCGTCACCCCGCCCGCGCCCCTCGGTCCCACGGCGGGGAGCGGCCGGGGCCATGGGGACCTCGCCTCCGCCCCCCACCCCAACCCCTGAGCGCTACCCCTGAAGGGGGGACGGGACTGAGAAGACGCCCGCAGACCCCAGCCCCGGAGCGGAGACCCCCGCCCGCGCCCCTCGGTCCCACGGCGGGGAGCGGCCGGGGCCATGGGGACCTCGCCTCC